GTGGAAGCCCGAAATCTCTGTAAATGTTTATGAAAATTAATAAAATATAATTATAGAAAAAAAAAGAAGAAAAAAAAGAAGAAAAAAAAATATTTAAAAGTTTGATTGTGAAGGAAAATTGGAATTATTCTGAACAGCTCCTAAAAGGAGAATTTGTATCGAAGATATAGTTACAAAAAAGTAGATTTGGTTCTAGGTAAGATAATTTTAAAAATTTAGAGCAGTCTGAAAATGGGACAGATTGTTTCCATGGGCTGTGAATTTTTCCTCTCAGGGAATCCCTGGGTGTGGCAAATAATTAAGCACTTTACTAATTAAAGGGAGCTCTGGTGGCCTGATGGTCCGTGGTTGCACTACCAAGCTAAGGTAGTTGTTGTTATGTTGTTATGTTGTTATGTGCCATCGAGTTGTTCTTATTGGCATTTGTATAAGAGAATCCAGGGGTTTAACCACTCTTCTGCCCAAATAAACCATGCAGGTTTGGCCCAATCTTGTGCTTGCCCCTTCCTTTTCCATAGTGTGGCACTAGGCACACTTCTGCACAAAAAATTTCTTGCCATTTGCAACATTACCCATTTTGAATTCATTCTGTCTTTCTGTGCAATTCCAAGTTAATTGCTCAGGAGCCAGACGTCCCATTCTCTAAGTCCTCAAACTTTCCCCCATCTATTATGATGGCGATGCAATCCATATGGAAGGCTGTAGTCTCTACACATCTTCAACAAGTGCTTCAACTCCTCTCTTGTAGCAAGTAAGGTTGTGTCATCTGTATAATGTAGATTATTGGTGAGTCTTCCTCTGATCCTGATCCCACATTCTTATTTATAAAGTCTAGCTTCTCGTATAATTTCCTCAGTGTACAGAATAGGTATGGATACAACCTTGACACAACTTTTTTGATTTTAAACTATGCAATATTCCCTTACTCTGCCTGAACAGAGCAGTATATTGGTCTAGGTCTAGGTTTCACAATGAACACAATTAAGTGCTCTGGGGTTCCCATTCTTCTCAATGTCAGCCACAACTTGTTATGATGCACACAGTCAAAAGCCTTTGTATAGTCAATAAAACACAAATAGATCCTTCTTCTGGTATTCTCTGCTTTCAGCCAGGATCCTTCTGACATCAGCAATGTTATCCCTGGTTCCACAATCGCTTCTAAATCCAGCTTGAATTTCTGGTAGTTCTCTCTCAGTGCACTGTTCTAAGCCTTTTTTTGACGATCTTCAGCAAGAACTTGTTGCATGGGACATTAATGATGTTAGATAATTTCCACATTCTGTCAGATCACCTTTCTTAGGAGTGGGAACCAATATGGTTTCTTCCAGTCAGTCAGTCAGTCAGTTAGTCAAGTTCTTCAAATTTTCTGGCATAAACTGGTAAGAAAGTCCAAGGCTGCATTTGTTATTTGAACCATGTCAATTCATATCTCTTCAATTCCTGGGATCTTATTTTTTTGTCATTCCTTCAGTACAGCTTGAACATCTTCCTTCATTACCATTGGCTCTTGTACCCATAGTACTTCATGAAATTTTTTAGTGTCAACTCTTTTTGATACAGTTAGTCTACGTATTCCTTCCATCTTCTTTTAGTGCTTCTCAATCATCCATGATTTTGCCTACAGGATCTCTCAGTATTGCAAGTTGTTTTTCAGATTTTTTAACTTTAGATACGCTGAGTGAGGTCTTTTAATTCTCTAACTCTAGTTCTTTGCACAATTAACTTGATGACAACAACTTTTTTAAGTGGTCCATATATTTTTTTGTGAGAAAAATTTTGTATTTAGAATTAGCTGGCTGGAATCAGTTTAGATGATCCCAATTTTGTTGGCAATGTCCAAAGCATCATAATCAGGAGTGAGTTGAACATAGGCCTTTTCTTTCCATCAGTCCTAATTAAAGTGTTGACCTTAGCCTCATCAATGTCATAGAGCTTCTTTATAGCGTGTTTGATTTGGTGCTTGTTGGCCTTGACATCTACAAGAGACACACCTGTGTTGTTATCTTCTATCTTCTTCATGGCTGACTTAGTGGTCATGGAAAATTTGATGATGGCATAGTGGTCAAGCCTGTTTCTCCTGGGGGCGCTCTTCTGGGGGTATTTGGGCTGCCTTTAGAGTCTCAGTGTTTTAGGTCACCCAAAGGTAGGTGACGTGCTGATCTTCTTTTTGTTTTGTTTTTTTTTGGCTGTGGATGCCCTTCAGGACTGCCTTCTTGGCCTTTAATGCCTCTGCTTTGGCTTCAGTTTTGGGAGGGGCAGGGGTTTCCTTCTTTGCTTTTGGCGCCATCTTCATAGAAAGGCTAAATGGTCCATATTTTTAACCATGAGAGAGATGTACTATTTTTTCAAACTTAAGTGAAAGTTTACAAATCATATTGATTTTTAGTTTGATAATTCATACACGTTTTATAACATAATAATTTTATTTGACCATTTACATACATTTTTATAAGATTAATTACAAGTTTGTTGTTGTGTATCATCAAGTCAACATTGACTCATTGTACAGGAGGAGATTGCCCATCTTTCTCCTATGGAGCTGCTGGTGGATTCAAACTGCATGCCTTTGGGTTGGCAGTTTCTTACCACAAAGTCACCAGAACTCCCTAGATAGAAGAGACTAATAAAACTATCCAATAGCACTGTCTGATCAATCCTTATTGCTTACTTATTTATGAATTTGTACTCCCTCTAAGTTATTCTTTAATGAGAGACCCTTCCCAAGTGACCAGAATAAGCTGTATAGAAGCAATACCTGGGAGAGACAAAGTCCTGACTCAGTCCTGGTGCCTTTGCTGCCAGCTTGAGCCATGGCTACTGAATGTTTGGTGGCCTGCCTCCCCTCCTGAAGACTGAATAAAATCATCAGACATGGGAACAGCAAAATACGATCACCAGAGCTAATTGTGCACAGAAAAGAACTTGTCTCGCGGTATCATGTGAAGTTTAAAAGTGTCCTTTAGGGAAACTTTTGTGGCCAGAGAAGAGTATTGAGAAGATTACTTTGACTTTTAAAGATTTATGTTGACCATATGAAAGTCCTTTCCAAAGTGCCAAGTGCAACAATGTCAGTAAGACTAAGATGCACTTGATTCAAGCCATGGCATTTTCTTTCTTTCTTTTTTTCCCCTTTTTAAGACAACACACATTTATTGTCTTACACATTTGGATTCTGAAGTCTGAGGTAAGTTTTAAGGGACTAAAACCAAAGTGTCAGATGTTTCTTCTGCAGGCTTCAGAGAACTGTTTATTTATTTTTCCCAATTTTTTGGGACTGCCTGCCTGCCTCTAAACACAGCAATGGGGGGCTGAGTCCGGGTCACACTGGGGACACTTGTTCATGCTCTTGGGGGAAGGCTGGGGCTGGGTAGGGGGGATGTGGCTTCTAGGGTGTGCTGGGATGCTGTGTAGAGGTGCCAGGAGGTGCTGAGAAAGGAGAAGGCAGGCTCTGTCGAGGCCTGTTGGGATGCCCATTGTGCCATTATCTGGTTGGTGCATGAGCTGGGCCTGCTGAAGGCGGTGCTGGGTCTACTGCTGGTGGAGCTGGTGCTTGATCTTAAGGCAGAAAGATACAGGGCATTTGCTCTCATGACAGTGTTTAGCGTGATAGCAACAGAGGGCGATTGTTTGCAGACGAGGCAGCCACCATTGATCCTCCGTCTGCAGACCCTAAGTGCTGCCACCACCTGCTTCATCTTCTGGCAGGATGGCAGCGAGCAGTGGCTGCTGCGACACTGGCTCATGTGCACCAGTGAGTCCAGGCACTGCTGGGTGCTCAGGCACACTGACCTGGGGTCGGGGGTGAGGTGGCTCGTGGACTGTGCCTTATTTGGGCTGCCGCCATCATCACCCATCTTGAAGCTGTTGATATTACAGCAGCTGTTGTCAAAGGCTGTCACCCTTGCAGAGACCGAAAAGCAACAAGAGCGCCATGGCATTTTCAATTGCTTCTTTTACATCAGAAAGTTAGGCAATGAACAAGATGACCAAAGAAGAATCAGTGCCTTTTTAAAAAAAATTAATTTACTTAATTTTTTTTTTTAGATTTCCATTCATTCATTGTTGCACACTTTCCTACCCAGTTCACTTTTCTATTTGACAAGTTAAAAAAATTCTTTCATTGTTTTACAATCCCCACACCTCCCACCCCATCCACTCCACTATGCAGGCTTCATTTGACTCTTGTCATGACAATAATACCAAATCATATATTCCTCCTAAACAGTACTCTTCCTCATCTGTTTCAATACAGTATATATTATTTATCCCCTCTTAATTTCCCCCCAACTCCAATGTCAATCTCGCTTTAGAACAATGGCAGTATGCAATATTTGTCCTTTTTGTGACTGAGATATTTCACTCAGCATAATGTCCTCCAGGGTCACCCATTTTGAATAATATTTCATGAGGTCCTTGTTTTTCAAAGCAGCATAGTATTCCATTGAATGAATATAGCACAGCTTCTCTATCCATTTGTTGATGGGCACTTGGGTTGTTTCCAACTCTTTGCTATTGTAAAGAAAGCTGTGATAAACATGGGTGTGCATATATCTGCTTGGGTGGCAGTTCTGGTCTCTTTGGGGTATATTCCCAGTAGTGGAACGGCTGGGTCAAATGGTATTTCTACTTCCAACTTTTTGAGAAAGCGCCATACTGCCTTCCACAGTGGCTGCACCATTTTACACTCCCACTAACAGTGAATAAGGATTCCAGTTTTCTCCGCAACCTAGCCAGCATTTGTTATTTACTGTTCTGTTAAATTTTGCTATTCTGACTGGGGTGAGATGATATCTCATAGTTGTTTTGGAATCAATGCCTTTTAATTGTGGTCTCGGTGAAAAGTACTGACTGTCAAAAAAACAAACCAAACTATCTTGGAGGAAGTGCAATTAGATTACTCCTTAGTGGAAAGGTGGTGAAATTCTATCTTGTGTATTTTGGTCACGTGGTCAGGAGGAGCGAGTCCTGGGAAAATGACCTCATGCTGGGAAAGGTGGAGGGTCAGTGAAAGAGAAGACTCTCAACAAAATGAATTGACAAAGTGACTGTAACAACAGGCTTGAGCGTGTTGGAGATTGTGAGGATAGAGCAGGATAGGGCAGGGCTCGAATCTTTTGTTCATAAAGATACTGTGAGCTGCAGTTGACTTGATGGCATATAACAACAACAACAATCTGAAAATTCAGCTCTTCTTTAGGCTTTTATGCTTAATTTACAAACAAGCAGATTTTAATGACCATTTTCAAATAAAAATTTGTTCAATATTTGGTCCCATTTATAAACATATGAATAAAATTACTTTGAGCAGTTTATAAACTTGATGTATTTAATGCTTTTTAAAGTAATTTGGTCACCTGAGCTAACAAATGAGATATTCTTAAGTACTTAGAAAATGTATAAGCTTATCAAATCACAAATAAAGCCATTCAATACCCCATTTCTCTTAAATGTTCAAAAACTAATTTTAATGGAAAAATCCTATTAAACTATAAACCACTTCCACATTTTCAATTAGAACTGCAAGTCTAATTCGTTACTATAATGATAACAGATCAAATTGCCTTAAACCCTGCAAATACCTAATAGTCCAAATATATACAGATTTCTTAATGCAAATGTGTTCTTGTTATTATTTGACTCTCTTAAATATCTCCATCCTTAATTCTAATTTGTTTTTAATAGGAAAACATACTTCAAACCCCAACCAGATGTATTGTCCTTGAATTCATTCCAACTCATAAGCATTCTATAGGACAAAGTATAATTGCTACATATGACTGACAAGGCTGTACAGCTTTATGGACGCAGACTGCTATACCTTTCTGCCGTGAGGCAGTGGTGAGTTTGAACAATCTTTTGAGCACTTTAACTACTGCCCTACTAGGGGTCCTTAACATGTACTTACCTATGAGGAATTACATATGCCACCCAAACTGTTTGCCTCTTTCCAGTCGTTTTTTCGGAAACACATTTTTAGTGGTCCAGAGAACATAACCAGCAGAGGTGCCCTCCCAAGGCTTCTAGTGCAGCTCTTCTCAGACCCCCAACTGCCCTACTGAGCCCTGTTTTATGGGTTCTGTGTCATTTCACCACAGCAATAGTGCCACAGCTCATGGCCCTCAGGTTCAAGTTACACTGTAATTCTTCAGCCTACACACGGAAGTCAGAAACTCCTACCCAGGTTGCTACATTACTTGTTTGGATATAACTAATCTATTTAAGGATTCCTTCTATTCTGAATTCTTTCCTGTGTCTGGCACCACAATTCTTACAGTTAGTGGATGGCTGACGGTTTTTTAATTTCCTTGGGTTCTAGTTACAGCTTTTAGGGAGCACTGGTGGCATAGTGGTAAGGAGCTGTGTTGCAAACCCAAAGGCACAGGGCTTAAATTCACCAGCTGCTCTGCAGAAGAAAGATGGGGAGTATCCTCTACAGTCTCTAAAAACCTGCAAGAGGGTCAGCACATAACAAGTTAAAGATTTTAGGTCAGGCCAGAGACTTGCTGCAGGAAGATTAACATTGAAAAGAAGGCATTAAACCCCTTTGGGTTAGGATTAATTAACCCTAGGGAAGGTGTTGTTGTTGTTATATGTTGGAATCAACTCAACTGACCCTCCAGCAGGTTTTCAGAAGCAGTAAATCACAATGGATGAGATTGTCCATCTTTCTCCCTTGGAACAGCTATTGGATTCAAGTAACATGCCTTCGGGCTGGCATCTCCATACTCACTAGGTCACCAGAGATGGAGGAGGTAGGAGAAAAATCTTATGGACTCTACATGATTCATTATCTTATTGCTTCATAGTGTTCTGTGTGCATTACTAAGTCTTGACAACTAAATTTGATAGTAAATTTTTTATTGCAACGATGTAATTATATTCAGGGAAACTCTGGAGGTTTGTCAAGAATTGTGCTGATAACCCAAAGGCCTTGTCTCTGGTGGTTTCAATCCACTCGCTATTCTGAGGGAGAAAGAAGGACCATCTCCTCTTGTGCAATTTCCAGCTTCAAAACCCGACAGTCAGTTTTCTGTTGTTTCTGACTGGATGACAGTTAGAGAGTAGTTATATTTGTCTAACTCTAAGTTACAGTCTCTTTCAAGGCTGTAAAATATTTTAAGTCTATGTTGGGACCTCAAAGAAATTTGGAAAAAAGAAAAGTGAGCTCAAAACATTTTATGCCCTCTAGAGGTAGTACTTGGGATAGATGGGGAATTACTAGGGAAACAAAACAAAAATAAAAACAAAGAATGAGTAGGTACAAATGTCTCTTAGATTAGGACCGTGGATAGGATACGGTGTTTCCATGAACCAATACTGAGATATAAATAAGAGGTAAGTAGGGAAGCTGGGCAGATCGTGATCTCAGTTCTGAACATATTTAGGCTTGAGGAGACAATGGGAGGAGCCTCATAAACTCACTCATTGCTGTCAAGTTGGAACCAAATTACAGCTGACCTTCCATGGGGTTTCTGAAGTTGTGATCATATGGAGGAGATTGCCCATATTTCTGTCTCGGACCCCTGGCAGATTTGAAAGCTAGGAAGGTGTACTCCTGCTTTAGCAGTGTGCTTCCCTGTGGACTACGCTACCAGAACTCAGAGTGACAGTTGTTGTTAGTGCTGGTGAATCAAATACAAGTCATAATAACCTTATGAACAACAGACTACAACACTTCTTAGAAAGTGGTCATTAAAATCTCATTTGTAAATTAAGCATAAATGTTTAAGGAAAAACTTATCTTTCATATTGTTGTTAAGTGCCCTTGAGTTGACTATGACCCTATAGTGAGTGACCCTATGAGCAACAGATTAAACCTTGCCATATTCTGTGATAGCTTCATGATCTCTGACATTCTCGAGCCTATTTTTACAGACACTGTTCAATATATCTTGTTGAGGGTCTTCCTCTAATTCTCTGAAATTCCACTCATCAGGATGTCTTCTTCTAAGACTTGGGCCCTCCTGATAATTTACCCAAAACATACGAGATTATCTTTCACTACCCTGGCCTCTAATGAGCAATCTGATCGTACTTTCTCCAAGACAGATTTGGTTGCTCTTTGGGCAGTTGATGGTACGTGGATACATGTGGTTGGAGTCTGGGAGATAGACACTGAATAAATGCTTTTGGGAGCATTAAGTGGTAGTCAAAACCATGGATATGTTTCAAGTCTTTCAAGGCAAGTGTAGTGTGAGAAGGAAATGAACCAAGGAAAGGACCCTGAGAAATACCAACATTTAAGATGCACACAAAAGAAGCAGAGCCTCCCTGGGTCACCTAGAAGAATCTTGGCATTGCTATCGCTGAGTTGATTCCAGCTAACTGATCCCTGGTAGAACAAAATAGAACTGCCACATAGGGTTTCCTAGGCTCTAATCTTTATAGAGTAGACTGTCAAGTCTTTCCTCCCACAAGGTATTTTGGTTACCAACCATATACTTTAACGAATGTGCAACTGGGAATCCCTTAGAAAAGCCAGGGTGGAGTGTTCCAAACCTTCATACTTTCCCCAAGAACAGTAATATACACTCCATCATACACAGCAGTGTGTTTTATTGCAGTAAAAACAGATGTGTGTTCTTGCCCAACCCAGGATAGCCAGCTCAGATTCTTCTGTTCTCCCTTCTTAAGCATCATTTCTCTGACCAGTCCAACAACAGCCCCTTCGAAGGACTTGACGTTTTTAAAAAAGTGTTTGTAGTTCTTTCTTCTTTTTAATTGAGTTTTCAAAACACAAGCTAGAAAGCAAACCAAGTCAGTTGCCATTGAATAGATCCTGAATTGTGACAATCTTATGTGTTTCCAAAGGGTGTTTCCATTGTCTGTGAGCTTTTGGAGTTAGGTTGGTAAGCTTTTCTTCAAAGGTGCACTGGGTGGGTTTGAACTATCAACCTTTCAGAAAGCAAAGTAAGTAGCAGTGAAGGGAAAAGGGAATAACCTGTCTTCCATGGTCATTTAGCATATCCATAAAAAAGCCCCTGAAGAATCAAGAGTGTGTAAAGCTGGGTGTGGGGGAGGTAACTGGTAGTAGCTAGGGAGATTAATAAAGAACTCAAGGGAAGAAATGCAGTAGCAGTGGGAGTGTGAAAAACCTTGGGTGTGGAGGACCTGGCTTTAAACAACTTCGTCAAAGTGTACAGGAACCAACTCATACCCCTGGTAATCTGTCTGCTGGGCAGGGTCACAGGCCACAATGAAATATGCATCCACGTATTTCTCTTTGTAGTTACAATCTGGGTACCTCCCAGAGACATGGTCACACATGGTCATGAACGCAGGTTCTTGGCTCAGGTGGCAATTTTCACGGCCATTCTTGCAGGTTACATTGGGTGCTTCACAAGTAGCGGCCACATTGGAGAAGGAGCTATGTATGAAGGTGTTGAGGCTTTTGCAGCGTTTTGTATATTTGTTGATGTTTCTCATCGCAGTGTTGCAGCTTTCCAAGCTGGGCTGCACATGCTGAGTTTCAAACCATTGAGATGAGGTCATGTCATGGGGCTTGGCACTGACTGGGACCTCAGCCACCCACAGCCCTAACAGCAGGGCCAGCAACAGAAACTGTGTCTTGGTTTGTGCCATCTCTCCTAAGGGAGACAGTGGAACAGAAGGGAGAGGTGAATGAGTGAGGAGGTCATCATCTGTGAATCTTGCTAACGCTTCTAAGAATTTCATACGCTAAGTCAGTAATTGCAGGGTTCCTACAACCCAGATATGTAAGAACATTATGCTACTGGGTGGTTCAACCTTCCCAGATTTTGTGCCTGATTGTGACTTTGTCATGGATTAGTATTAAGACTAAGAGAAGGAAGAATAACATAAAAAAGATTATTGTGATTGATTAAAAGGGTTGAATTGTGTTCTCCCAAAATATATGTCAACTTGACTAAGCCATGAGTCTCAAAATTGTGCAGTTCTCTTCCATTTTGTGATCTGATGTCATTATCCTACATTTTCTGATGTGCTGTTCACTGTTACCTTTACCTGTGATAAAGTTTGTTAATGAGGTAGGATGAAAGTGGGATACATTAAAAAAAAAAAGAAAAAAAAAAAAAAGAAAGTGGGATACATTATCCTTACTTGAGTTATCACCCTTACTTAGGTAAATCCCTGATCTTTTACAGAGGAGTTTCCTGGTGCTGGCAAAGGGGATCAGCCTGTATCACCTTTAATCTTACAAGAAATCAAAGGAAAGAGAAACTAGCAGAGAAGAAAGGAGCTTGGCTAGGAAAGAAGAGCTAGGAATGGAGCCTATCTTTCTGGAACTTAGAGTCCCAGTGCTGAGAATCTTCTAGACCCAGGCAAAGATTGATAGAGCTATATGGAGGGCTCCAAAGGGTGCTATCTTCACAGATGTTGAAAGAAGGCAAACTTTCCTCCAGAGATGATGAAAAAAAAAATAAAATTTTCCTCTAGAGTTAGCACCCTGATTTTGGACTTTGAACTTTTTAAATTGTGATAGAATTGAGTTTCTATTTGTTAAAGTCATCTACTTATATTTCTGTTATAGTAGCACCAGAAAATCAAGACAAACCCCAATAAATACTTGCATTGTTTAGCTTTCACAATGCTTTTATGAGGTAAGCAGGAGTTCCCTTTTTTTATATAAGAACAAGTAGATTCAGGAAGATTAAGGAAATGATCCATCATTATATAGGATTTGAATCACAATCTCCCTATTCCCTCCCAAAGTCCAGTTGTCATTTTTTAAAAAAATTATCCCTTAAGAGGAATTTACTAATAAAACAGCAACAAAAAAAGAGAGGAATTTACTGAGGCTTAATTCTAATAGGAAAATAATGTAAAAAGATTGCTGACAATGGATGAGTCCAGAACCACCCTCACAAATTGTGCCCCTGGTTAATTTTATTTATTTATTGTGATTTGAGTGGGTGTTTATAAAGCAAATTGTTTTTTCTGTTTAACCTTCACATGCACTTCATTTTATTCCTGCTTTACTATAGATGAGAGTATCCCCTGGTGTAGCTGAGGCTTTTCTGAGTGCTGGCCCAAGTACATGGAGATCCACTGACAGAGGAGTCCCTGCCTGAAGATCCTCCACCTTTTTTCTGCACTCAGACTTTGTCCCCAGGCAGCATTTTTATCCCAGACCCGCCACCATGGTGTTTGATGCTCCTCTCTTTAATGGAGATTCACCCCTCACCAACAGTGGTGACTTTTAGCTTCCACATCCTATCACAACACAGTGTACAAACTAGTGTATCTGAACTGTTTACCTGCAAGGAAATTATTTCTTTCTAAATTAGAAAAGGAAAGGCCATCCTTAATTTTCAATGTTTCTCAAGGTTTGGTTTGTAAGAGAGTCTCAAGGCCATATTCTTTTTGCTCTCATTTTGAAACTCTGAGAAGTCAAACTGTGAAGGAAAACTGATCTTGGAAGGAAAACAGGACAAGGGCTCATAATCTACTCTCCCAGGATAGCTCAGGAATTCCTCAAAGAGTCTTTATTAGGTTGTGAAGTCAGGCCAATTTCTTCCTGTTCTGTGGCCTACTTTCTCCGTGAAGCAATAAAAATGGTCATTCCTAGCCAGGGGATTACCGCTTCAGCTGGCCAAACAGTATGGTGATTTAGGTTCTTCTCCTGTTAGAGAATATCTTGGGGTAAGAAGATCAGAGCTGGGAGAGACTTTAGAGATAATGTCATACTCCTGAAAAGGCTCATTCTCCCTCCAGCCACAGAGAGCATGACAGAGCTACAGTCAGGAGTGGCTTTCTTAACCTTCAGCTTGTCCCCTGGACAAGTGCCACGTGAGAAGTGAAAGAGAAAATGTTTCCCATTTTGGGACCACAGGTCCTGAATTGTGTTTGTGTGTAATTTTATAGCAAATCAAAATCAACTGCCCTCATGTCACTTATGTCTTATGCTGGCTCTCCATTGCATTTCCAAGGCTGAGAAACTTTGTAACAAGAGCCTGCCCTCTTTCTCCCATAAAGGGGCTAGTGGATTTGAACTGCTGGCCTTTTGGTTAGCGGTTCACCATGTAACACACTACTCCACCAGGACTCCTGGTGTGTGATTTTTAGGTGGTGTATAAACATTGCTTTAAAAAGTTCCCTTTTAATTCTTCTGATAACATTAGAGAAAACAATCTTCTGTTATACCAAGATGATGAATTCTCTTATATTCCCTAACATTTAATTTTGGAAGCAGGAGTGGCATCTACTTCCTAAACAACATGCCTCTGGAAACTCTATGAACTTTGATAAATCATGGTAGTTATAGAAAGGCTTCAGGCCTTTTGTTCGTAGGGATGTTATGAGTCGTGCTCGACTCAATGACAATCAAAAACAATGACATTTCATTATCTCCCATTTTCAACAGAGACAACAATTGCAGGCGGAGTCTTCAGTGAGAAAAAAAAATCTGGATAGAATTTAATTAAATTGGTGTGCATCCATCATTATATTTATTTTCACTTTTGTTTATTAAGTGGCACTAACATTGTTTGAAGGATGCTGTTATACAGGTTCACTTACAAAGAGCTATTGGAATTATGTAAATAAATAGATATGTATTAAACTATCAAATCAATGGTGATTATAACAGCAACACTAGTTTTAAAAATCGTGAAGACAGAAGCAAAAGACTGAAGTTGGGGAAATTTAGTTTCTCAGGCTTGTGAACTGAATCCCAGCATATATCCCTTCTGAGATTTGTGTGACTTTTCTGTCTTTGAGGTAAAATGTTTTCCAAACTGGCAAAAATCATTGAGGCTCTTGGGATCTGTGTTGCCAAATGAGAAACTTAACAAGTTGTTTGTCCTTCCACCTGCAAGATTGAGCCTGGCTCACCAACAGGCTTTGCCCTTTTCACAGCGGGATATCTTTCATGCGTTACTCTCCATAAAGTTAACAAAACATTGATTTTGAACCCAGAAAAACATTACCCAGCAAGCATCTGATTTGGGCCCCTGGCAGTAAATCCTCCCCTCACTCCCGAGAAATAATTTCTCTTCTGGAGGCACATTGAGACTCTCCCATTAGAGTAGAAGGGTTTCCAAATAATTATTCGTTAATAATTGCAGATCCAAGCCTCCCGGGCTTTGGAACAAAAGGATGGGAACAGGGTATGAGTTGAGGGCTGGTTTAAACATTTCCTACTACTGCACAGAATGACTGACTGCAGACTTCTCAAGCTCTGAACCTAATTAAGTTGCAAACATACATTCTCTCAATTAGGCACTGACCCTGCAGCTAGTTAGTCCCACTCTGGAAGGCCTAGGGAAGAATTTTTTTTCCTTATTATGTTTTATTGATCCTTATAATTCATCATGAGTCCTCCCAACTGCCATAGTCTTAGTGCTATTTTACCCATTAAACACTAGAGGCTCAGTGTTCAGGGTTGTGGTAGGATTTTGTTTAGTAGCACAGCACACTAGCAACTACACTACCAGAGCTCTTTGGTCTGAAGGTTTTTAAACATCTACATTATTTGAGACTGGAGAAAAACATATTGGATCCTGTATGGGAAAAGTGAACTGAAAAAGAAAACAATTTTTTCAACTGCTACCAAAATAGCTTAAAACAGAAACTATGAAAATTTCATATTATTTATTTATCAAATAATAATTATTTTTTGTATTATATATTATATTATTTTCTACATAATAATTATTTGAGGAGAAATGTGGGGTCAAGATTGGTGGACGATTTATTAACAATCTGTGTTATGCAGATGACACAACCCTGCTTGCTGAAACTGAAGAAGACCTGAAGCACCTGCTGCAGAGGGTCAAGGACTGTAGCCTCCAATATGGATTGAGGCTCAATGTCAAGAAGACAAAGATTCTCACCACGGGACCAATTGGCAGCATCAGGATGGATGGTGAAGAGATTGAGATTGTACACAGCTTTAGTTTGCTTGGCTCCACAGTCAACACTCTTAGCACTAGTAGCCAGGAAATTAAAAGACTCATTGCATGGGAAAGTCTGCTGTTAGGGACCTCTCCAAAGTACTGAAGAGCAATGGTGTCTCTCTGGAGACTAAGGTGCATTTGATACAGGCCATGGTCTTTGCAATCACTTGTTATGCATCAGAGAGTTGGACAATGACCAAGGAGGATAGAAGGAGAATTGATGCCTTTGAGCTATGGTGCTGGAGAAGAGTATTGAGAATACCATGGACGGCTAGGAAAATAAACAGATTTGTCCTGGAAAGGGTTATACTGGGTGGCTCCTTGGAGGCAAGGATTCTGAGGCTCAGTCTAACATACTCTGGACATGTTGTGAGGAGAGACCGGTCCTTGGAGAAGGACATCATGCTTGGGAGGGTGGAGGGACAGCGCAAGAGGGGAAGGCCCTCTATGAGGTGGATTGATTCAGTGACTGGGATAATTGGGATGGGAGTGTCAGAGACAGTGTGATTGGCACAGGACAGAGCAGAGTTTAGGGCTGTTGTACATAGGGTCGCTATGAGTTGCAAGCAACTCAACGGTGCATAACAACAGCAACAACAAGAACAATAATTATTTAATAAATTAATGATATGGAATTTTTTATATTTTATGTTTTAAGCTATTTTGGTAGCAGGTGAAAAAATTATTTGACTTTTCAGTTCACTTTTCCCATACAGAATATGTGTTTCTCCAGCCTCAAATCAAGGACTGTAGCCTTTAATATGGATTAAAGCTCAATATCAAGAAAACAAAGATTCT